ATATTTTATAATAAAATATATATATATATATATTATTCTTTGCAACAAGTTGAAGTCAGGAAATTATATATATATATAATATATTTTAATATATTATAATATATTTATTATATATCTATAATATATTTATTATATATATATAAAATATATATATATATACGGTGCAGTAGTTCATGAATTCGGTTACTGAGAATCACTGAATGAATTCACCTTTTAGTAGTATGATCAATCGCCCGAGTGTAAAGGGTTAATACTTGAATGGCAAAGCAAATAGGGCATTGAATTCGTGTAGCAGGTTGCTTATTGTTTCTTCCTCTTTGCTTCAGAGACTGGAGGTTCAAGCATCCTCAGGGATTGAACAAAAGAAAATCTTATAGCATTCGTACGACGAAAGTGGGCAAGATCGGGCTGTTCTCAAAAGAGGTCCTCTATACTCTTTTTATCACGAACATTCTCTCCGTCTTGGTTGGAGCTGGCCTGGGGTAAGAGGAACTTATACTGTATATCTCTAAATATATATCTGAACCTTTTCCCTACAAGCAAGAATAACGACGAAACGCTTTCGAAACGATGTTCCAGGGTCTGGTTGTCCAGGCGAGGATCGATAACGTCCAGCGTAACTATCGAGTGAAGAAAAAGAAATGGCCAGGTACGCAAAAATGAGGATTGCTGCGCTAGAGTTTGCGAGAAAACCGAGTGATGGATTGTCGAGCCGTTAGAAAGACTGAAAAGCCAAGAAAAAAAAAAGAAACAATGGGTCGATTAAGCCTAACGAAACACACAACATATTATTTCGATTATCGCAATTTAATATTAGCACTTTTTATTCTATTCTTCCCTGCCCGAAAGAAACTTAACGGTATACTTATTAAAACGCCGTATTATTGTGTAAGTCATATGCGATTGTATGCTTAAACAAAAAAAAAAAAACAAAAAAAACAAAAAAAGCAGCTTAAAAAAACGAAAAAAAAAACATGAAAGAAAAGAAAAAGAAAAAAAAATACAATATGATTTATATATTTAGTGTTGTTGAGGAAGTAAGACATGTCCATTTTATACCATTTCTAACGCGTTTCTATCAGCGATAGCCTGTAGGTATAGCTTGGGTATTATTTATCGATAACAGTTATTATTACTCGTTAATTGAGCAAGAAGGAAAGGTTTGAAAAACATAAGAAAGAATGTCTACATAAGAGGAGATATACCGTTTTACGTATGAAAACGTATGAAAAAGAATGAAATGTATAAAAGAAAGAGAAGAAGGAAAAGATTTAACAGTGTGAGACAACAATTGATGATATATAATAAAAAAAGTTACATCTCCATTTAAATTGCGAATATTCTGCTGTTATATTGAAATTTGTATGTTTACTGTTGGTATGAATCCAAAACTCTTTACGAGTTATTTCAAAGCGCAATGTGATAGAAAAGTCAAACGTTATATTTATTAATGGAATTTCATCTTTTTATGGAATTCTGAGCAACGATTGGTAGGTTTTTAAACAACGTATAACACGATCGTTTAAATAAATGGTAAAAATTGACAGTTTCCGTTCCAGTTTTATTTATATTTGATTTTGTAAAGTTACAAATTGTGTATAAAAAAAGGATAATACAGCATAATTCTAGGTTTTAATTAATCGATTCGTTATCAATCAAATGCAGAATTTGAGCAAATTGTTGAATAATATTTCTTATGTATTTATAATATACGTTTTGGATACTTGACGGTAATTTTAACAGCATAAACCATTTTATATTTAACAGTGTATAGATCATAGATTTTGTAAGCAAAACAGTGAAAATGATTCAAAAGGAAATATGAAAATCAGATAAAGTCCAACATTGTACATTGGATTCAATGGATTTTATTTGTAATCGAAAGAAGTCGTCTAATTCTCATGTTTCATGATTTTGAAATCAATTTGACTAATTGCAATGAAATTGTTAATTTATAATTTTCATGTATTGAGAAACGAGTTGTAATTTCTTTCTTTCTTTCGTAGAATTATAATGTACGAGTCGCTTTGCTCGATAGCACAATGTGTGATTTGTATTGAACTATTACGAAATAAAAGACTCGATATTGATCGCATCACGTTGACGATTTTCTGAGATTT